TATTGCTGATGTCTGTGGTTTATTGAAAGGAACAGTCAATGCTTAAAATTTTCTTTTTTCTTGACCAATTTTGCATGCTTGAATTTGGTAATCAGAATGACTGATCTGAAAACAATATGCAGTATAAGAACCATTGTTGAACTCCCACCATCTTGTATGGTGAAGCTCTCCAGTGTTGTTTTTTTTTAATTACTTGTTACTATTTCTTGATTGATCAATCTTACATTCCTGTGTCTGGTGGACTGAGCAACTTCATTGAAGATAACAGTGTGCAATATAGCAACCATTGTTAATTCCTATCATTTTGTTTTGAGGTCATGTATTGTTTTGGGGTTTTTTTGTGTTGTTTTGATTTTGTCTTCATTGTTTTGTTAGTTTTTTTAATTTTTAAAATAAAAAAAACTTTCAAATTTTAATCCATTATGATATTCACAATCTAGCACAGGGACAATTTAAAATGTTAGTAACTGAAGCAGCAAATTATATTTTTGCTATTAACAGGGGTGTGGGAAAGCACAGCAAAGTAGTGGCCTGGAAGAAATAAAAGAGTCCCTTAGCAGTCATGGAGTGGTGTTGGACATAAAATATTCTTCTTCAATACATGACCGCGAAATTAGGTTTGTGCGTAGTAATACTTTAATTTTTAGTAGTTTAAATATAGTGTTAAAATTTCTGTTATATAATTGCATACAAATATTATGTTTAAATATTAAAATTCAAATAAAGCTCAGTTTTAGTAATTTCTCACCTTTGAGGATTAAAAGAAAAGCTCTGTTTACTTTGTCGTATGAGTTTATTATTCCCAGAGGAAGGAAAATCTGTATGTTGTCTCATCTAGGAAGAGGGGGAACCTTTCTGCACACTGCATACAGTGTTCTGATTAATTTCACTAGAAAGCAAAGTAATTTTTTAGTGAAATTAATATTTATATAATGTAGTTTTATTTGCTGTGGATAAGTAAATATTCTGGCAGACAGGAAAATGTGCTGAACTGGTGGCACAGGCCTGCATTCGTAGCACTTGTGAGGCTGAGGCAGGAGGGTTGTGATGAGTTCAGAGCCAGCCTGGGCCACACAGTGAGCTCAAGGCCAGTCTGAACTGCATAGTGAGACCCTGTCTCAAAACAGACAGACAAGAAACTCCCTCCAAAATATGCTGAGTTAATAAGAAAATAGTGCTTGCAGTTATTTTAGAGCTATCTTCCCTTTGTTTAGTAAAGAGGTTTTCCTATGATTACAACAATGGCACTTCCATTTTTAATGAAAACTTCAGCACAAACTAAATAAACAAAATAGAGGCAAGTTCAGTGCTGCTGTGGTGAAAGCAGAGGTGAGGGCCAGGGCTCCTTGTGCTCACGTTCACGTTCCCAGTGCCTAGGAAGGGGAAGCCCTGAGACACCACCACAGTCTCTGAATATACTCTGCGCAGCCACCTGTCAGCACAGTAGGAAATCTTTATCAACAAGCTTAACTTCAAGAGTCAGTTCTGACTTATCTGTTAGCCAATCAAATCTGCTGACTCAAGCTTAACTTCAAGAGTCAGTTCTGACTTAACTGTTAGCCAGTCAAATCTGCTGACTCTTTCTGTGGCCCTTTTGTTTCACTGAAGACACAGCCCATGATGAGCCCTAGATCTGATTCAACCCATGCCATTGAAAGAAACGGTTTTCTCTGTTGGTGGGACTTAATCCGCTACGGCTTTAATAACTGTCTCAAAGCTAACACTGTATACTAATTTCAATAGGTTCAACAATGGATGGATGATTAAGATCGGAAGGGGACTTGATTACTTTAAGAAACCACAGGTAGGATATAATTTTATGAGTAAGAGTGTAGTACCATTTTGTATCACTTTTGTTTTTGTTTCTTTTTTGAGATGGGGGGTGTCTCACTAAGTAGCCCAGGCTGGTCTTGAACTCCTTGGGCTCAAAAGTTATTCTCCTACCTCAGCCTCCGAGTAGGTGGGACCACTGGTACATCACACCTAGATTATTTTTGTGTTTTAAACAATACTCTTTTCTTCCTAGGGTCGTTTTTCCCTTGGATATTGTGATTTTGATTTAAGACCATGTCATGAAACAACAGTGGACATTTTTCACAACAAGCACACACAGAAAATATGATGGTCAGCCTAATTCATATTATTTGTATTTAAATGCTATCCTATTCCATTTTCTGTTGCTGTAACGGAATACCACACACTGGCTAATATGAAGAATAGAAGTTGATTTAGCTCGCAGTTCTGGAAGTCTTAAGAGCACAGCGTTGGCATCTGGTGCAGGCCTTCTTTCTATACTGGACGCGACAGACAGCGTCATGGGAGAGACAGCAAGCTCGCCAGAGGGAGCTCACTTTCATAACCAAGCCACTCGTGGGAAGCAGAGCCAGTCATATTTCAGCAGTTCCACCTCTTAACACTGCTATGTTGGGGACCAAGTCTCAAATCATGAACTTTTGGAGGACACATTCGAACAATAGAAGTGACTATTGGATTATTTTTAAAAATGCAAACATATTTTTATAATGTATAAATCTAACAATAAACTTTTTACATTTCTACTAACTTATGAATCCATTGTCCATTTATGGGAACAGTCATAAATATTTCTGCAAATGTATTACTTAGTAGACTGACAATGTTTCTTTTCAAAATTCAGTGGTTACATTCAAGGTTGACCTTATGGGGAAGTTTGATTTGGTTCTTGCCGTTTCAGCTTGTAACCAGAATGGTGGAATTATGTTCGTCAACCAAAGTACCACTGTCATTGTGGTTGTTAGACTGCATAAATCCACCTCTGTAGAGGACCAGCAATCCAGAACCCTCTGGATTTATCGAATTCTTATAAAAATCCTGGCTAAGAGCAGAGGGTGTTAGATCAGTGTTGTAGCATGTGCTTAGCATTTATGAGGCTGTGGGTCCAGTCCTCAGCACCTTGGCTAAAAAAATCCTAAGAGAAAATATTTAAAGAAAAGAGTACATGCCTGTAATCCCAGCACTCGGGAAGCTGAGGCAGGAGGATCATGGTGAGTTTGAGACCAGCCTGAGCTATAAGGTGAGTTCAAGGCCAGCCTGAACTGTATAGCGAGACCCTGTCTCAAAAGGACAAAAAAAAAAGTCTATACATATGTTTTCCATTATGTTAGACATACATATTTCGAGTCCCCAGATCAGATTAGAACACCAGAAGGATACCAAGTGCAAGTTTAAGTGTGTGGAGTTATAGAAGGAAGAAAACTAGAGCAACTGGAGAGACAATTATATTCCTGAATGGAAGACAGTGTCAGTTTCTCCTAAATTATAAATTAGTTGACAAAGGAGACTAGCACCAGGAGACTTTCTTGACTTACTGCAAGTCATATTAACTGTAGCAATCTTTTAGAGGTACATGGGCATAGATCTAGCCAAATAAATTAGTGCCACAGGGCCAGAGATAAAGCTCAGTGGCATAGCACCTGCCTGGCAAGTGCAAGGTCCTGAGTTCAATTCCCAGTACCAAAAAAAAAAATCAGTGCAACACAATAAAGAACTCAGAAAAATGTGTGTATGGATATTTAAGGTATAATAAAGGTGTCATTTCAATTTACAAAGTGGACATTCAATAAATGGAAAATAACGAATAAATCTTAAATAGGTGAAAGAAATAATAAAATAGAAAACCTGGGCTTTTATTCTGAACTCCTACCAAATAAATAAGAATAACACAAAGACCAGAAAAACTGTCAAGGAAAGGAATAGAGCAAAAGCTTTGATCACATACATATTTAAAACTTGGGTATAGGCACCATAAACAAAGTTTGAAAACATGGTCAAATTTACAACATATAGAAAAAGGTTTAATATCTCCAAGTGCGTACAGAAGATGGACTGGTTTGCAGCAGTGATCTTGGTGTGACCTGTAGCCTCGTGAAGGACTTGATCCAAGAACAGTGTGTCCCGCCCTACTGATCATTCCCGCCGGCACACACATCCCCGAGCAGATGCTGCCCTGTGCGCTGTTCTCCTTCATGAACAAACTTCTTCAAAGAGTCCTCCCAGGACAGTGTCCTCCACTTCCTCACCACCTCTTCACACTTCAGCTCCACTCACTCACTCCACTGAAATGTGTTCAAGTCAGCAGTGACCTCCATCTCGCCAAACACACTGGGCATTTTTTAACCTTCATCTCACCTGACCTTGCAGGGTCAGACAGCAAGGGCAGTGAGGCCGGCCCTGGCAGCGCCAGTGATGGAGATAGACCACTCCCTTTGCAAAACTTAACTTTGGTAAAATACAGTTTTCTCTTCCATCCTTTCACATATTAGATTTGGAGCTGGTGATGTAGTTCACTGGGAGAACATCTGCTCAGTCCGCGGCACAATCATAGTAATCCTTAATCTCTTTTCCTCAACCCATAGTCTGCCTAAGAAATTACACTAGTATTTTTATAAAAGCAACAAAAACTACCACTACTTGATATAAAAAGGTCTGCTTAAGGTAATAGGTAGTTCATAGCACCACCACAGGAGCTCTACACTGAGATGTGCAAGCTTTGCCTTGAAAAATAACCGAGAAGTAACCATATGGGACCCTGCTGCCCCCACTGCAAGGGCTGGATGTGGCAACGATGTGACTTCCATCACGGCCCTGCTAATGCTGGCCTCGCAGCCTTGGCGATCTGAGAAAGGAGGGTCCTGATTAGAGAGGGGTCTCCCCTCTCAGGTTCTCTGCCTCGCTGGCTTCCGATTCAAAGTCTGCAGCAGGAGCAGCTGGCCGGCTCATGTGCCCACACCCTCGCTTCAAGGGAGGCCAGGAAAGCGCATCTACAACACACAGTACAAGTTTCACTTTCCATGGGGGAACGTGAGCTGCACATCCCTTGATTCTTAGAAAGTGCGACATTCCCTAAACAGGAGACCAGGTGCTACATCATTAAACCTTTAGATGAATTACAAAAGTCCAGAATTACCTGTCCTCAGGATCTAAAATACTATTCATATGCTACCAATTCACAAATTACCTGAGACTTCTCCTTGGAGTTCCAATTCAGCTGTCCCACAGCATCTCAGAAGTACATGACATTTCAAATACAGTGTAGGCCAGCTGAACTCCATTCCCTCGGCTTACTCCCATGCATCCAGTTGCTTACTGAGAAGTCCAGACTCCTCTCTCTCGCATCCCAGCATGCAAACACTGAGGCAGGAGGATCACCGTGAGTTCGAGGCCAGAGTTTAACACTAGCCTGGACTTCATAGTGAGATCCTATCTCAACACTCCTGACCCCCCCAAAATTGTGAATGACTGTTGTTTTAAGCCACCTCATTTTGGAATGCACTGGAATATTGTCCTCCCCACCCCACCCCTCTTGGCATGGATTTCTTATTCTTCAGGTCTCAGTTTAAGTAGCATCTTCCTGAGAGCTCTAGCCAGATAGACCCTATTATTGCCTGTTACTACTGCCTTAACTTTTACCTCATGGCTTTTCTCATTTTGTGATTATTTACCAATTTGTTAATCTTCTTTTCCTAATAGGATAGAGATTTAAAAACTTGGGTTTGGATTTATTAGTACATAAGACTACCTTTTTGAAAGATGAAAGGAACATATACTATCAGAAAAATATATAAACATTGTATTGTGAAGCTTGTTAGGTATGATAAATGTATGGGTGCTATGGCACAAAGGAGTTATTTTAGTCTAATTTTACGTTTGCTTTTTTAAAAAAGTTTGAAAGTCACTGTACTAAAATGTCAATTCCTGGGGTCAAGGACTATTTATCTTTTATTCACCATGAATACTCAACAACTAGCCCAGAGCTGGCACATAGTAGATACTCAATAAACACCGAATAAGTACTGAAGAAATAAGTGTGTGGCTGAGTGCACTGTAGAAAGGGAAAAGATCAACAGTGATGTTACTCTCGGAAGTTTGGTAAGGAAAAGGTGGAGGAAAGAAAGAGTGTTGAGTAGGAGTTTTGGGAAGCAGAAGTCACATGTCCATTCACTATGGGTAAGGACCCGGTGAAAGGGGAGAGAAATGCGAATGTGTGGGTGCGAGGCATAAACACAAACAGGAGGGGACAAAGCCCGGGTACAGTTAGGGGAGGTGGCTCGAAGGGAAGAGGGGCATTTCTTCTCTGACTGAAGGAAAAGAGCAAAGCTGCAGTGCAGACCATGGGAGCTGCAGGAGCTCATTTCTGAGGCCTCCACTCTCAACACATAATAATCAAAGTTGGTGACACAGTAAAAGCAGAGGAATCTGAGCTTGAGAAGAGTGGAAATCTTTAGGAAGAAGCCACCTCTAAGAGTGAGCGGGAGTCAGCCAGAGACAAGTTGAATCTGATGCCAGCGAAGATACATTGATAACCATAAATATGAAACTGGGAGAATTTGCATCCACAGACATACTGCTTAGCACCTAGGTACAGGAGGAGAAAATCAGGGGGAATTCACCTTTCAGAACCCCCTGCTCCTGCTTTAGACCAGCTATATTTCTGCTTTTTCCTCCTCTAAAAGCAAAGGGGATATAGCTCAGTGGAACAAGCTCCTGCCTGGTAAGCACAAGGTCCTGAGTTCAATTCCTGGTACCCTCTCCAAAAAAGGTGACTATGAGCTGGGTATGGTGATACACACTAGTAAGCCCAACACTAGGGAGGCTGAGGTAGGAGGACTGATGTAAGTTCAGGTGCAGCCTGAGCTACCTAGTAAGACCCTATCTCAAAAAGAACCACCACAAAAATAAATAAAATAAATGTGGCTATGGTAGGCCCAGGGAGAAAAGCAGGTAAGAATACTGGTAAAAGCTGAGTGTAGTGGCAAATGCCTACAATCCCAGCACTCGAGAGGCTGAGGCAGGTGGATTCACGAGTTTGAGGCCAGTTTGGGCTACAAAGTGAGTTCAAGAAGACCAGCCTGAACTACACAGCAAGACCCTGTCTCAAACAAACAAAAAACCGGGGATATAGCTTATGGGTGCAGCACCTGCCTGGCAAGCATGAGATCCTGAGTACAAAAAAAAAAAACAAAAACACCACCACCCTCAAGAATACTGATACAAAATTACAGTTTAAATAGTTCAGGCTGGAATAGGAAAGGAAATGACACTAGGAAAGATTAGGTAAGTATGAGACCTTAGAAAAATGTAGGGCTTGAAGGAGAGTGGAAAGATAAAATACAGCTAAAACGGAGAATTTTAGAGTTTAAGATTCAGAGGTAGCAAGGAGCCTAGGTTATAGTCCTTAGAAGTAGGAAAATATGGGCTGGGGATTTAGCTCAGCGGCAAAAGCGCCTGCCTGGCAAGCGCAAGGTCGTGAGTTCGGTTCCCAGTACCGGAGGAAAAAAAAAAAAAAAAAAAAGAAGTAGGAAAACCAAAAACCTACCTCTGATAATAGCATGTATAAGATGCTATGCATCTAAAGGCAGTAAAAGAGCAAGGAGCTGAGATATGAAAGTGTGCCAGGTGTTCAGACCCACAAAGAAAGAAGTAACAGCATCCTACAGGTTGGTACAAAGCATAGGCAAGGACAGGTGCTAAACAAATTCAGATGGGGAGAATTACTGAGAGACTAGGTCTTTTTTCTAAGACACAAGGCATTTAAAATTTTTTTATTTTCTCATTGAAACTGTCAGTATAAAAAAAAGTTACCTGGAGTCACATTATTCCTTTAATTTTTTCACAGAGAACATTCCATTTACTATGTAGTTCCTGGTCTCCGGGACACATTCTAAGTAACATATGCATTATCATGGTAGTTTCAATTGGGCAAAACTTGCTGCCAGTCAAACTTGAATTTAATTTATCACATATTGCCAGGGGCAGCCAATGATCAGGTGCTTCGATCTTGCACATTTCGATTCTTCCATTCTTTATGTCTAGAAATACTTTGATTTCCAAATATGCCTGTTCACATAACACATTAAAGGTAGTGTTTACACTAAACTTTGGAGTCCTGCCATATATCCACTCCCAAGTTTGTAGTTCTTTGGCTTTGCTGTTTATTCCAGGAAATACGCTCTCATCTGTTGGGTTGATGAGGTGGATGTGATTATCAAGTTGATGATAAGCAGCATACTCTGCAGCAATAGCATTTATCAGTACTTCGCAGGTCAGAGTGGGATCTTTTTCCAGAAGGTTTTTCACCACCGCAGGTATGCTAGTAGTGGCGTTGCTCTTGATCCCTTGGTACGGGCTCTTCAGCAAAGAAGACAAAGAGGTCCTGTCAGTACTACATAACAAGGTACAGTGGTGATACGCAGTAGTCCTGCCGATCTTAGCAGCTGTTCCTGAGATTTTAAACTGCCCATCAAGTAACAGGTCAAATCTTTTTGTGGCCTGCACATCCAGCTGGGGTTGGACAGTGTTTAGAGCTCTCACGATTAATTTCAGGTTTTTCATTCGATCATACTTGGCTTTGGCTGTAAAGAAAGTGAGGTTGATATTGCCCATGTCATGGTACACAGCTCCTCCTCCACTTAGTCTCCGAGCCAGTTTGACGCCTCCCTCTCTCATGAGAGTCAGGTTACATTCCTGCCAAGGATTCTGATGTCTCCCAATCACAAGGGAGGGAGAGTTCCTCCAAAAGAAGAGAATTGGCTTGCCTTCTAGACTCACATGGTCATGGATCCAGTCTTCTACAGCTAGATTTTGATACACATCATTGGAAACAGATTGTAAAATGAGTCCACTTTTCACTGTGCTTTTAAAGCCCGCTGCTGGGACCTTGTGATTACAAAGTAACTGAAAACAATTCTTCATTAATTGTGGGATCAGCATGCCTTTAAAGTGGAAGACAACAGATTAATTGATTAATTAACAAATTAATTCAATGAGAAAAGGAAAACTAAATTCTCTTTTCTAGTTATTGATCACTGGCTATTTGATCCAGACTTATGTAAGTATCCAGTTAGGTTGCTTCTCTTGCCTTTATTATTAGTTTTTAGCAATTCTCCAAGAGTGCGCAAAGGGAATAAATGAAGATAAACTTCCAGTAATTTCAGTTCATGTGAAATGAGGGTTCAGATTTTTTTGAAACAACGGGCATGCAGCAGATACATTACATAATGCATCTCAAAGCCAAACAAATTATTTTTAATTTACAAGTAATATGCAGTCATTCAGAAAATAACAGATAAGTAAAAAGAAAACAAAATAACCCATAATTCCACCCCATGGAGATAACCATAATTAACATTTTGGTATGAATAATCCATTTTATTACTGTGCATGTGTATACACCCAGCACACCCTTTTCCAAAAAAAAAAAAAATGTAATTGCACTGTTATTTTAGTATTTCATTCTATCTGTTTTTTAAGATAAGGTCTCAGTATTTTGCCCAGGCAAATGGGATCAAATGATCCTCCTGCCTCCGCCTCCTGAGTAGCTCAGAGTATAGGCAGTGTCATCATACCCAGCTTATTTAAAATTGAATCTATTTTTACCTCAGCTTAAATGACTGTGCAATATTTCATTGTTAATATGCCCGTTTGCTCAGTTTCTTGGTCTCTATTAGGCTGTTTCTAGTTTTCCTGTGTTATCACGTTGTATTCATGAACATCGCCATGGAAAGAGAGATGTCTTTATGAATTAATTATGTCTTTATAATGTTTTAAAAATACTTGCTATTTGACTTTGGGATAGATGATTTATTACTAAGATAACTTTCATTTAGGTCAATATGAAATTAGGATGAACCCTCTAAGGTCAGACAGAGAAAATCAGAGTATGTAGATTCATACGGAAAGGCTATGAAATTCGTTGTTTGGACACTTTACAAACTACATATTGGCAGTGTGAGTGAAGTTTAGGTGGCAAAAGGTTGAAAATACTATCCATGAAAAGGAGGTACTTCGACTATTTATTGGCTTTCAATCATTTTATTTCAATTTTATTTCTGGGCATGCTTCTAGTTCTCCTTTAGGATAAAGAACTAGGAATAGAGTGCATTGTTTCTTTGTTTTTGTTCTGTTTTGCTTTTTGGAGACAGGCTCATGCTGTATAAGACAGGCTGGCTGTAAATTCACTATGTAGCCCAGGCTGGCTTCTAACTCTTAGCAGTCTTCCTGCCTCAGCCTCTGGAGTACTGGGATTACAGGTGTGCAACACCATACCTGGCTGAGTGGATTTTAATTATTATTATTTCTTTTTCAGTTCTGGAGATTAAACCCAGGGTTTTTGCACTAAACTACCTCTTAGACCTTTAAAAAAATTTTTTTAAGACAGGGTCTTGCTAATTTGCTCAGGCTGACCTCAGAACTTTTTTTTTTTTTTTTTTTTTTTGGTTTTTCTCCGGTACCGGGAACCGAACTCACGACCTTGCGCTTGCCAGGCAGGCGCTTTTGCCGCTGAGCTAAATCCCCAGCCCCTGACCTCAGAACTTTTGATCCTCCTGCCTCAGCCTCCCAAAGTGCTGGTATCATAGGCATGCACCACCATGCCCAGCTCGAGTGGATTATCAGAGTCTATTACTATGTCAAACTATTTAGTTCAGTAATGTCTTAGAAGTGTAACTCCTAGGTTAAAGAGTCTTCAAATCTTCATCACTCTTGATGTATTTTATAAATTATGTTGAAGAAAAGTTGAGCCAGTTTACACTCCCTCTGTTTAAGAAAGATCTGGAGAGGTTTCACAGAAGCAGAGTTACTTGAACTGTGTCTTGAAATTGGATGGTTTTCTAGGTTGAGGGGAATAGCATACTGCTGGAACACACAAAGGCAGACAGTGGTATAATAGTAATGAATGTTTGGGGACTTCTTCCTAAGGGACACAGTTGAACTACTGGTGTCCTAACTCCCCTAAGGACTCTGTCTACACTGTCCTAGGAAGTCTCTACACTCAGATTATATCTTTGGTTAATCTCTTTGTTCTTAGACCTGTTTGGCTGAGTTCCATAAAGTTCTATATTCATTCGACAAACACTTATGGAGCATCTATTGGACACCAAGTAGTATGGGGACAGAGAAGAGAGAAAACAAATTCATGTACAGTAACGAAAGTTCACGAAAGCCTCTGTTGGCGAACAGTTCCGTTTGAGAACAGAAGCATTTGGCAAAATTTTGCTTCCATCTGAGAACTCCACATCGGATGAGGAACACAACCATGGCTATCTTCCCCAGAATCGTGGAATGAATTAAGTCTGTGAATTGAGGTGCCACTTTAATCTTAAAGCATTTGAATTCTAAGGGCAACTGGGATCTACTGAAGTTTTAAGCAGGAAAGTGGTATAAATTGGCCATCATACAAGACTGCCCCTGCAGTGTTGAGCACAGATTAAACAAAGGGTAGACTAGGGACACAGGGAGAAATTAACTGAATAAAGTAACAATTGAATAAAGTAGTTATCTTGGAGAACTACTTTATGAGGGTCTGAACTGGGGCAGCAGACAGAGACAGGATGAATATGAGAAGATTATGGAGGTGAACTGTTCCTTCCCTCCAAGCAACTTTCATTTCATCTCCACAATCTAGTGGAAGGCACTAAAAAGCAGATAAGACAGTGATTTAAATGCAGTGTCATAAGTGCTGTGATACAAAGTCATCTAAACCTCTAATGAGTGGAAGTAATGCCAAAGCTCATACATAACAGGGATACAGAAAAGTATTGCAGTAAGAATCCATGCAAAGAGTTTAATTCCGGTGGCTGGAACTGAAGGGGGCAGGAGTGGGAGCTGCAAGCAAGAGGGAGATAGGAAAAATATGGGTCAGATGATGCAGAGCCTTCAGTCCATGTTTAAAGCTTGAACTTCACCCTGAGGACCTTGAGGGAGGCGCTGAGGAGTTCTAAGGAGTGTGAAGACTGGGTTTATATGTTACAGCCATTGGCTGGAGACTTAAGCACAAAGAAACTACAGTACTTGGTGACCAGGTGAATGAAGGCGAGAGAAGGAAGTCAAGGATTATATCCTTAAGAGTATGATAATTATGAACTCTGACCAGAATGCCAGCATTTATATCTCAACTCTCCTTCACCAATTAAATACCTAAAGCACATTACTGACTTTTCTGTACCCTAGACCTCTTATCTATAATATATGCCTAGGGGCAGGACTCATCTCACAGTGTCAGGATTAAATGAGCTAATACAGGTTCAGTGCTTGCAGGAGTTCCAGGCACACAGAAAGTACACTATATGTATTCTGTTACTATCATTGCCTGATCTCTGCCCTGGCTAACAGGTGGAAAGAGATGCTATTTCCTAGGAGAAATCTCATTGGAGGAGGTGGTATGGGTGAAGATACATGGTTCACCTTGATTGTGTTGAACTTGAGTCTAGGGGGGACTAAACTGTCCAGAAGATGTTGTGAGTAGATATAGATCCTTCAACGAAACCTTGAAGAGCACTTAAGGGATAAACCCAGTGACACTCAAGGGATAAACAGAGGAAGGAGGGAGAGCTCTCCTCCCTAAAACTGGCAACAGAATCAAGACACTTAAAACATGTGGTATTTTGGAAGCTTCCAGGAGATAAGAAGCTGAAAACAGATCAGCACCAAGAAGGTTATCAGTGAAGGAGATGAGTGGAGTGAACGGAGGCCCAAAAGCTGTGGCAATAGAAGGAATATGTAGTTAGGAAAGGCCTCAGTCAGAAGAGAGCAAGACTGGTGAAGCGAGTCCCTGAGAAAGTGGTGATGCTGGGATCCAGAGTTCAGGTAGGGAGGTAGCCTTTCACAGAGCGGATTCTCTTCTGCTGTGATCCAAAGAAGAAATGGTGACAGACGGGTATGGTGGTGTGTCATATGCTAAGACTGGAAGTGTGTACAGAAGCAGAGATTCTCAGAGAACTTGTGACATAGCCTTTCCTAAAGTTAAAGCTCTTACTCTTTTTGTTATCTATAGAATGCAACAGGATAGTTTAAATTTTAAGTCTAGTGTGGAGGTACATGCCTGTAATCCCAACACTTGGGAGGCTAAAGCAGGAGGATCACAAGTTCATCACCAGCCTTAGTGACACAGAGAGAGAGCTTGTCGCAAAAAACAAAACAAGCTTAAATTTTAATCCTGGCTCTGCCACTTACTAATTGACCAAGAGTAAGCAGTCTAACCTCTGGTTGCTTCATTTGCCTCAGTAAGGCATAGTGAATGGAGATTGCCATAGAATGATCAAATTAAATGTGTTCAGTGTCAAATGTGTTGAAATGTTAGATTTTATAGGATTCCTCACTTCGCATCTCTATTTTCTTGTTCATACTGTTCTAGTCATATAACATGTATTCCATGTGTACAAGGGTTCCTAACCAAGATACAGCAAAATGGCATTTTCTTTGATAAATCAGCTGTATTCCACAATATATTGTTCAAAACCAAGATTATGCTAGGGCTCCAGAATTGAGCCAATTCATGTATTGATGTAATTCACATGTCTTAGTAGTGCTAAAAATATCTATATACACCCAACAATTTTGTATATAGTGTTAATGAAACATAACAAAGGTATTAATTTCACAAACTCTGCATCATTCTTGGTACTTGGGATTTATCAGTAAGCCAAATAATAACGATAATAAAAAAAAGGAAAGATAGGGCTTGGAAGAGAGGTTTGGAACCCTGTATGTGAGTCAATTTTCAGTAGGGTTGTTAGGCTAGGCCTCATCAAAATGGCGACATGTGGGCAAAGGGCTGAATGCCCACCAGGTCTAAGAAACCATTCCAGGTATTTGAACTCGTCAAACCAATAAATTGGCCTTGGTGAGGATGCAGTCCTTTAACTGAGCCCTAAAGGATGAGAAAGAACATAGAGATGAAGTGGAAACAAAGGCACATCCCAAAATCTTGAATACCAACTACTGATGAGTCTGTCCATGTACTTGCTCACGAGCCAATTTATGCTAAGTCTGGTGAATACATAATCAGAACAAAAGTTACACAATCAAGTTACACAATTTCAGTGTCTGATGGTTGGGGCCCTAAGAAAATCACCTCAACTCCTCAGCCATGGAGAGATCCTACATTTAAGCCACAATACTGTGTACGCCATCTGGGACAAGTACACCTCCCGTATTTTATACTCCTGTCACAGACAGATCCCTGAATGAATGATATACTCTTTACTTGTCAGAATATAGTTAGGCCTTTGAAAGACTGACAAAATTTTGTTTTTTTAATCTCTATTTTCTTTTACTTACTAGTTTTACAGAAAATAAATATATGAAAAAATGTTCAACATCCCTGGTCATTCAAGAGATGCAAATTAAAATAACACTGAGATTCTATCTCACTCCTGAGAAAATAGCTATTTTCAAGAAATCAACCAATAACAAATGCTGGTCAGGCTGTGGAAAAAAAGGAACCCTTCTCCACTGCTGGTGAGTGTAGACTGATACAACCACTCTGGAAATCTATGTGGAGATTCCTCAAAAACCTAAACTAGAGGTTCCATTTGACCCAGCTATTCCCATTCTTGGTACCTCACACCCCTGGGTACAGCACACTCATGTGCTCTACTTGGAAACTGCTCAAATGCCCATCAACGGATGAATGAATAAGGATTTTTTAATACAATGGAGTACTACTCTGTCATAAAGGATAAACGAGACATTTTTAGGTTTTAAATGGATGCATCTTAAGACCCTACTCTTGAGTGAAATAAATCAGACACACGTGTACATATCACATTGTCTCTCTGGTGTGAGAAACCGAAAGGGTAAATAAGGTTCAAAATATGTAAGAGATATTGGGAAATAGGAAGAAAATGTTCAGATGGGAAGGGGAACAATGGAAGGGGGAGGGGGAACGAAAGGAAGGGAAAAGGAAAATAATGGAAACAACTTTTTGTAAATGAGGTGGAGAGGGGTTGAAGAAAGGGGAGGGGATTAGGGAAAAAGCATTAAGGTATATTATGTACAGACATAAATTCCCTATGATGAATGTGATCATTAGGCATATCTATAACGCACCAATAAAGTTTAAAGATTACTAGTTTTAGTTTTTCCTCAGGATATTCTTATTTACACATTCCTGGGGATACTTTGCACTATCCAACATGCTATTCAATCAGCGAAACAATCCCCATTCCATCATCTTTCTAGGCAGGACCAACTTTTTTTTTTGGCCAGTAGTAGGAATTGAACGCTGGGGCGCTCTGCCACTAAGCCTTACCCTCAAACCTTTCTGAGACAAATTCTGAGGTAAATTGCCCAGGCGGGCTTCAATTTGTAATCTTCCTGCCTCAGCCTCCAGAATAGTTGGGACTACAGACATGCCTGGCTCCTGCTTCTTCATAAAACCTTATCAAGACTATTTTGCAAGCTCTCTTGCAGTATCTTATCCTCAATCTCATCACGGTCGTGTGCGTGTTCTGTTCCCCATTTTTAGCTCTCTGTGGTCGTACACAGCTGTTTTAAGCTGTTCACCCTCGTCCTGGTTCCTGGTCAGCCTTCCTAACATTGACAATATCGCGTCCCGGGTGCTGAGAGTAAAGCAAGGGACTTCGGCCCGCACCTGGTTCCCGATCCCAGGGTCCTCAGTCCCCACCCGCTGCCCAATCGCGCACCGCGACCTCAGTAACCCGATTCACCCCGCAGCACCCCAGAGATCTGCTTCCGGTTTCACTCACCAGCTACTTCCGGTCGCGCGGGGCCTCTAGCGGACTAGTGCTGGGGAAGGTCGCGTGGGCCCTAAGCATCCGCAGGATGCACACTCAACCTGACCACGCTCATTCCATCCACTGTGGGCGGAGACGGAGATAGGGCACGCCCCAATGACCCGCCCACTCGATGCCCACCCCTGGTTCCGCCCCCGAGGCCCGAGAGGAGGCGTGGCTTCCTGGAGCGTACCCCGCCTCCCAGTCGCCTTTGCGGTCTCCTGTCTTCGCCGCCCTCCGGGTTTCCCAGTCCTTCAGGGCACAAAACCACTCTGGAGGCAGGGACGCAGGCCACATACGAATAAGAGAATAAAGTCCCAATTCCGATGGCGCTCCTTGCGTGACGGCAGAGATAATGGCCGCCCAGCGGCGGAGGTAGGAGAGGCGGATGAGCCAGGACCCAGGGCACCTTTCCCGGAGCGAGGGGACCCTCGACACTCCTGCGGCTCAGCTACAATACAGACACAGTGACTCATTTATTTATTATAGTACTTGTGTCCCAAGTTCCTGTGAGTCTCGTATTATTTCCGTGGAATGGATTCTGTGCAGAATAAACCGCAGTAAGAATTTTTCCTAGTTATTAAAACAGCCCCACAATATTCTTACTTTTTTTTTTCCTTCCATTACATCCTTCTAAATTTTATTTCTTTGAAATCTGAGGTGGTGCAGTTTGTATTTTTTTCTGTCATTTTCTTCTGAGGTGGTTTAGAGTCCTACTCTCTGTTCCTTGCTCTAAGATTTTTGTCCCTTGGCTCTTGTCACCCACTCTCCTACTTCTTCAGTTTTTCCACTGGAACCCTTCCTTTTTGTTGTTGTTTTGTTTTTTTCCGGTACCGGGAATCAAACTCAGGACCTTGCTCTTGCCAGGCAGGCGCTGTGCCGCTGAGCTAAATCCCCAGCCCCTCCACTGCAACCTTTCCAGTGACACTCATGCTTCACAGTCCTCTGGCGAGTTACTCCTTCCAGCTCTTATCCTGTCTACTCCCCTTCAAAGCCAAGCTTCTTGTAAGTCACCACACATCCAGTATCTGTTTCCTCCTTCACAATCAACCTACTCCAGCATGGCTTTTGCCTCATTATTCCAGCAAGAGTGCTTTTGTGAATATCACTGCTGGCATTCACGTTGCGAGACCCAGTGGACTTTTCAGTTCTCATCTAACTGTTCAGTTGACTACCTCTGCCTGGGAAGACTCCTGTGGCCAAGCTTCAAATCCGCCATCTTGATTTCCCTTTAGACTCAGCTGCCTTTGACAGCTGTCCCTGCTCTGATCAGCCCCTAAATGCTGGAGTTCCTCAGATCTTTAGCTATCCATAATTAGTCTCCTTAAGCAATCTCATTTATTCCTGTGGGTTTAAGTACCATTTTTATCAAAATTCCTGCTTTTAGTTCCATGCATCCAACCACCCTGAAAACCTGTTATGTCGAAAAACTATGTTCCTGAGCTCACTCACTGACCCAGGAAAGCACCATGCATCATGTTTTGTTTTGTTTTGTTTTGTTTTGTTTTTTAACCAAAAACCCCCATTTCTCCCCCTGGATGACCATCATCATCGTCACCCACTTGGACAACCATGTGATACAAAGTTACAGATGTCAGAGAAACTTTTCTAATTCCCACTATTAAAATCAAGTTTATGTGTTATGTCTCCTGTTTTGTCTCTTTAAAGGCTTTTTCTTCGTAGCACATTACAGTTTAGATTCCATATAATTACTGCATATCCTGTCTTCCCAGGTAGACAGACAGAAAGCCTGGTCGAGGTAGTGGCTCTTTGTTCACTGCTGTATCTCCAGCACCAGCACAGCGCCAGGTTAGGTGAACAATGATTTCTGTATTTTTTCTTTCCCAAAGAAATATGCTTTGCAAATGATAAAAAGCATGGTGTTATTCGACAATTTCATTTTTTTATTCTAAGATCACTAATATATTTGTTTAGTTTTTGTCTGATTTATAGAGTATTGTTTCCCCTTAAAGATGCTTTTTCCTCTTTTTTAATGAATATTAAGGTGATATGCAATTGGGTATTAGAGGGGTTATTAAGTATTAAAGTAGAGGAACATGTTCAAAATATGCATAATATGAGTATAGCTCAGTGGTGTAGTATGGGCTTATCATGGGTGAGGCCGTGCTTCAGTCTCTAGCACCAAAAAAGAAACAAACAACCATGTACAATATAAATAGTTACAAGTCACTTCTGGAAAAAGAGGTTTTACTTCATCTAATCATTATTTGATACTGCTGTTTCAAAGTGCCAGCAAGTTTAATAGCTGTTATAAAACAGGTGTGTTTAAAAAAAAAACCACAGGGGCTGGGGATTTAGCTCAGCGGCAAAAGCGCCTGCCTGGCAAGCGCAAGGTCGTGAGTTTGGTTCCTGGTACCGCAGAAAAACCAAAAACCAAAAACCAAAAAAAACAAAATAAAATAAAAAAAACATAGCTATTAAGGCTTTCCTCACTCCAGCCCACCCTGCTTTCTCTGGGGTGTTCTTTTATCTTGGTTTTTCCTCTTTTGTTCGGCCCATGCTTGCTCTGCAGAGCATTTCTCTCGTACTCTTCACTTTCAGTTTTTTAAATAAACTTTGCCACTACTTAACAAAACAAAAAACACTAGTTACTTTTACTAAGTTATTGGTGGTATAAAATGGTAACTTACACAAGATAAACTATTAAACTTGGAAAGAAGTGTTTTCTAACTCTGAAATAGATTCAGTATGGGGAGGAACATTTTAAAAGAAAGACGTAAAACGTAAAATGCTTTTGAAGCTGTGCGATTTATTTGTCTTTTGCTGAGTTTATCTGCAGTGATCTTTCACAGAGCACAAATGAAAACTGTAGGAAGATACAGTATCCTAAAGCAAAATCTCAAACTGGAAATTCAGCATACAGAAGTGGTATACCAGAAATACTGTGAAATACTGATGACAAGTTGCTAGGACACTTCATTTTTTAACCACTTATTAAAGAAATTCTTTACAATTACAGTAAAATGTTTTGGTGTCATTCAAATACTGTCACTGAAAACTCTGCTCTTTATCAAGGTTGGAATATAATCCCAGAGAAATCTGCTTTGAATTTTGGAAGTTTTTTTCTCCCTAGCCTGACTGACTGCCTTTTCAACATGCACCATCAAAAGATGTAGTTTAAAATGACTCATAAATAGTGAAAAATAAAACATGTCTTCCTTCATTTAGTTAGGTGTTTCTAATGCTGTTCAGTTCTCAATAAACACCTCTTAATTGAAAGCCATTTTTTTTTTTTTTGGTTATGTGTACAAGTTACTTCATTCCACATCTGTCATTTCTGTGCCATCACTTTCTTTAACATATTCCACTGAACCCACCACTTTCTCTGAAAGAGATCCCGTGCCAGTCCCTTCAAGTTTTGTAAAGTTCTCTTGGTGTGTGTCTTCTAATCTTATTTTCTTGGTGTTTTGAAATAATCGAGTGACTGGCTCCACACTGCTTTTCTCAGTCCCCTGCATTAAGTGATCGTCCACTTTGGAATCCATTTGGATGGCAGATACCCGAGTAGAAGATTTACTAAGCGGAAATCCCATTGGGCAGTTTGAAGATACCTTTTTTAAGTAGTAGAAATGTTTCTTCAATTTGATTACTGAAAAATAAAAATAGAAGTAAGAAGTGAACACAACAGGAATCTCAACAACTACATGGCAATGTTTGTTTGAAATGTCATAGAGATGCTAAAAATATAAAATAAAATTGACCATTATCATTCCCTGATTACATTTTCTTTATGGCAAGGTTTGTAGAGTATATCAGTTCCTTTGACAGTCTTTTTAAAAAGTAATTTGCCTAACTTACTATTTATCACCGTCCAGCAACTAACAGAACTTCTCTTAGTCTTCTCTGTTATTCTTTTTTTTGTCTTTTTGAGACGGGGTCTCACTATGCAGTTCAGGCTGGCCTTGAGCTCACTTTGTAGCCCAGGCTGGTCTCAAACTCATAACGATCCTCCTGCCTCAGCCTCCTGAGGGCTGGGATTACAGGCATGTGCCACCACACCTGGCTCTTCTCTGTCATTCTTACTAGCAATAATTTTTTAATTCATTATTAATGGTTTAAGTAATTATTAGAGGCCAAGCACTCTGCTATATAGGTATTCTGCAAAAAAAAAAAAAAAAAAAGTTCAATAAAGATATGGAACTTGTTAAGTATCCTAATCTGCTGAAAAAATGAGTATGTAATCCTGAGTGAGATTTTGAAGAGATTTCCAAAGAGGGTTGAGGGCTATTTCAAGCATCACAGTTAGGGCCTTGCACTTATAGTTCTCTCAGCCTGAAACAATTTTTGAATTGCAAACCACTCCCGTTTTTGGATAATTAGTGACACAGAGCCTGAAACTATGAAGAGCTAAACTGGCAGATTATTGCTTCCTGCCATGGTGGAGTAACAGGAACCAAACTGATCCTCATGCTTTAACCCTTTATAAAAACCGACAACAACACATGAAGCAATGGTTTTTAGATTTGGGACAACAGGCAGAGCAGGAGAGAGATCCCTGAGGAAGGGGAATAAAAAAAGGAGAATTTCTCATGCTTCCACACAGGAAGGGGGTCCAACAGAGCCTGGTCACTTTCATGAACTGAGAAGACAGTTTGGGGAGACCAAGAGGCTAGAATCTGTGGAAACAGGAGAGAGGAAAAGAGTGAGAAAGCACTCTAGAGATCTTCAGAGGATTCCCCTCAACTCCAAAGCTGAGTACTGACGAGGGCATGTTAGGAAGAAAACTTCTGAGGTCTGAGAGAGAACCACCAAAAAGGAGAAGGCAGAATAATCACTGGAGCTCACACAGGGTCAAGAACAGTTTACGTTCCCACCAGTCAGGTGGAAAGACATCTTGATATTTGAGACACTGGGTAGAGTCTGTAGAAAGGTATTAGCTCAGTTATAAAGCCAAAAATGCCCTACACTAAAGGTTACACTGAACTTAGGAAATTTTAAAAGTTAGCTGCTGGCAAGGTGTGGTGGTGAATGCCTGTAATTCCAGTACACTGGGAGACTGAGGCAGGAGGATTGCAAGTTTGTGCCCAGTCTGGGCAATTTAGCAACTTAAAACCTGTCTCAGGGAAAAAAAAAAAAAAAAGGTTGGGGATGTATGTCGCTCAGTACAAAGGCCCTAGGTTCAATTCCTAGTACCAAAACTACAACAACAAAACCTGGCCACTAAATAGCATTGTCTAATACAGTAGAACTTAATGTAGTGATGTAAATACATACAGTATTGTATATCTACATCATCCTATATGGTAGCCATTAACCACATGTAGCTTTTGGAATGGGAATGTGGATAGTACAAGTGAGGAACAAAAATTTAATTTTATTAACATAAATTTAAATAGTCACATGTAGCTAATGGCTACTATTTTGGATGGTAGAGATGAAAGGGTCAAATTGCTCTCAAGTACCTTAACCAAATCTCAAGAAAGCCAAACATACTTAAATGCTAACTCTCTGTCTCCCCCTCTCTCCTGGATCTAAGAGTGTGAAATCTACAATGCTTAGCAGTCAATCAAAATTTAGCTGCATGAAAACACACAAAAAACTACAACTTCTAACCAGGAGGAATAAAAGTAGAAGCAAATCCACAGATTATACAGCTGACAGAATTAATATATGAATGCCTTAAAACATATTTTATATATATTTCATGTCTGGAAGAAGGTGGAATAAATCAAGAGCATGATACAGTATGAAATGGAAGATTTCTTTTAAAACATCAAATTTTCATACATGAAAAATAAATGTCTGACATGAAAACTATGGGTGGGACTAACATTGCCAATGGAAAGATATAGCACTGAAAGGCTGGGGAGGTAGCTTAGTTGTAGGGTACTTGCCCAGCATGTGTGAAGCCTGGGTTCTATCCTCAGCACTGCAAAAATCTACATATAGATACACATCACATAGAGAAATATAAATACGTAGATATATTCATGTAATGTATAAATGCAACATTTAAATATATAGATATATTTATACAGATCTGTCTATATATAATCACATAGATAGGTAGATATAGATACATGAGGATATCTATGTATATAGCAATGGGAATGATCCAATCAAAAGACGCACAGAGAGGGGCTGGGGATTTAGCTCAGCGGCAAAAGCGCCTGCCTGGCAAGCGCAAGGTCGTGAGTTCGGTTCCCGGTACCAGAGAAAAAAACCAAAAAAAACAAAAAAACCAAAAAACGCACAGAGTCTCAGTGAGCTCCGGGACAATACCAGGTCTCTGACTTTTTTGTTTGGTGGGGACCAAGGGGCACCGGAAAAAAAAAAAAAGCCAAAATAGGTTTTTGTACTTGAAGCCTTTGAAATGCTGGAGAAACTAAAGGACTAGAAACTACTATTAAGGTGCATGTCACAGGAGAGGCAGGTTTCTATACAAGGCTTAACGGGCAGGTGGGAACACTCACCACTCCTTGGGTTTACAGAGGGAGAAGGACATTTTCATTTTCTTGGGTTAGGGGAGAAAACCATCAGCCCTTGACGGGAAAAGAAAGGAACATTCTTATGCACTCTTTGGCCTTAAAAAGATATTTTCCCTACATTCTCTTGAAAGAATCTTTGGTAACATCCAGGTGGCCTAGGAAAACGCTTAAACTGCTCTTATTCTTTCCCATTTCCGGTAGTAGTAATCCTCCTCCCTCCTCTTAAAGCTCCCACTTCAACTGAGAGAATTTTGTTTGTTTTGGTTTTGGTGCCGGGCAGTGAATCCTGGGCATCCTGCAGCTCCAGCACCTTGCTCCACCCCCAATTTTATTTTTTATTTATTTGTAAAATTAGACTTTATTGATACATTTTAGGTATACATAACGATCACATTCATCATAGAGAATTTGTACCTGTACGTGACATAACTTGTTTCCTTTCCTATTCCCCTACCCTCCCTTCAACCCCTCCTCCCAGTTTTAAAGTTAGTACATTCTTTTTTTTTTTTTTTTTTCGGTACCGGGAACAGAACTCACGACCTTGCACTTGCCAGGCAGGCGCTTTGCCGCTGAGCTAAATCCCCAGCCCCCTACATTCTTTTTATTTGTTTTCAATCATGCTAGATGAGACTCTTTAAAATAGCTTTAGTGTCTGACAAGGATACTGGATTATATATTACTCTCCCTAACTTTTCAGGATTCTTTTGAGAGCCCATGCTTTTTTTACTACTTATCAATTGCATTTCAAAGGAAACGTGCTACTCCCTAGATCTCTTCACGGCTTTAAAATAAGAGGCAATTGCATTTTCTCGTATTGCCTCTACTCATATTTAGAAAGGATACGGTATGCGAAAATAAAACTTGTTTATCCGTGCCAATACTGCTTTGTGGAAAAAGTGAGTACTCAAAGGGAAAACCAGGAATTGTCAGTCTCCTCAAACGTGAGCTTACTTTTGAAATGCAAAGGCTCATACCATATTAAGGGCACTTTAAAATCCTATCTAATGTCATCTATAGGAAAAGACAGGGAGATAGGGTCACTATTGTAATTCAAAAGCTCTTGAGATAAGAAGGGTGGGACATGTTAAGTATTTAGAAATATTAAGAAGACTATTTCTGTTCAAGGTAGGTTCCAAAATAGTGGCAGAATAACGCAGTGGTTATTCTTGTTTACTTCAAAGCTCAGTTCTCCACTTTAGAGTAACGTAGTTGCTTTTTATTTTTTCTTTTTCTTGCACTGGTTAAATTACATGGGTGTTCCCAGACTGAAGGCTCCTAAGTGAGCAAAGAGAAGTTTAAACGGCATTAAACAGGGAAAACAATCGATACTTTATTAAACCTCGCGTGAAGCGGTGGGTATACCTTTTCTTTGTTAGCCATCGCCAGTTTTTCTGGAAAGAGGACTTGGAAGGGGACGGACTCGTGCAACCTGGGTTTTTACTGTCACCTCCCGCCTCCAGCCTGACACGAGTGTGCAAGGCTGACCCGGGCCTTGGCTCCACGGGCTCCCCAGACAGGAGGCTGCAGGCGCTCACCGGTACAGGAGGGTCACTCTCAGGAGTCTGGAGCTGGAGGACCGCAGCACCAGGGAGTAGCGCTCAAAGGGGGCTCCTGGCTGTAGCAGAAGCTGTGCCCAAGAGCAGCTGTTCTAATAAACGTGGGTCCAGAATGACTTCGGATCCCTAGGAAAAAGCGAAGAGCCATGGCCGCAAAAGAAGCAGGTGTTGAGTAAGACGTGGGGAGAGGGGGAAGACAGCCGTGCGCATGCGCGTTCTATCCAGGTGCGCCAGCCCTGAGGAAGTCGCGAGAAAGGGGCCGCGCGCTGGTTACTAGGAGACGGGACGCTCGGGTCCGGCGTCTAGGCGCTGCGTGGGCGTGCGCCTGCGCGGCGCGGATGGGCCACGAAGAGGCCTCTCCTAGGCGCCCTGTGAGGGGGACAGGTGGACGTACGCGTCGCTACGTGCGTGGGTGCGCGCGCACGGCTTGTAGTCCCCGAGCGAGGGCGGGTCGGGCCAGGTACGCGTGCGCAAAGGACCTGGGGGCGCGCCGGACGGAAGCGGAGCGAAGGCGCCGGGGAGGTGGCAGAAGAGCCCCCCTCAGGTACGGAGGGAGCGTGAGGGCGGGCCCGACGGCGCGCAGGCCGGCGCCAACCGCCCCCGCCTCCCTCCTGCGGGGTCCTGCCTTCCTCCACCTCCGCCGGGGCGGGGCCAGGCGGATTTGGGGGCGGGCAGGGCGGGTCAAGGGGCGGAGGATGGAGACCCGGCGGGACCTGGATGGACTGCGGTGGCCCGGGCCCCGCACTCGCAGGGATGAGTGCCGGGGAGGACGGAGGGCCCGGCAGCCCGGGGAGGGCCCCGGAGCTCCAGGTAGACGCTTCGGAGGTGCGCGGGGGCTGCGGGCGGCCTGGGGTGGTCTCCGCGGCCGGGGCCGCTGTGGGGTGAGGTGGTGGCCGGGGAAGCCGCCCGGGAGCCCGCGTCCTCGGGGTCGTTTCTTGGGAGATCAGGGTTGAGCCCAGTTCCTATGGTGACCGCTTCGCTTCCTGCCTCGGCTTGTCGCTTGGTGGGGGACTGTTCTGCTTAGAAAAGCTCTGGAGCGGAGCCGAGGAACTTGGAAGTTAGAGATTTGGGAGTTCATCTTGGCTCCTCCCGACTTCCAGGCTCCCCTTTCAGGGTCGTCTTTGTAGACTTTGGGAAGCGAAGGGCCGAGATGATGTAGGCATTTGCATAAAATGTCGTATCATTTCGGTAGAAATTGTACACAGGAAGGGCAGAATAAGTTTGCTTGAAAAACTATGAAAGTCTCAAATACGTGTGATCGTAGACTTGTACCTGAACACTACATATGTCCTTTTTTATTTTCAAATAAAATCAAGGATTCTGCTTTCAGGAAAATATTGCATAGATGAGTGTACCAGCGCTTCTTCTTTTCCATTCCAGACATTTATGTCACGGGATGTTTGCTATTTTAAATTCCCTTTATTGTCAATCAACATTTTCAAATATTTTTTGTTCGCTTGTAAGGAAATACAAAATAACAATCGGTTTGTAAATGGAATCAATAGATTATTTAAACAAAAAAGCATAGGGTCACATTTCAATATCCAGGATAAAACTGGTTTTTGTTTATATATTTTAATTGATCAGTGAAGTGAATCCTTCAATCTTAACTATTGGGAAACAGCTAGGAAGCTTATTATCTTAATGAAGTATTTATTTCAAATTAAACTTAGGCATTATTTAGTGGTAGCTTTCAAAATATACCTCATTGTATTTACTTTCTGGAGAAAAGAAAATCACTGCTTGTAGCCCAGAGTATAATCGAGGGTAGAGATTGGTTGAGCTCTTTTCTGTCTTCTTTTGCAGTTGCTTAGTGCAGTTTGTTGCAAGCTAGCTTGGTTTTAAATCTCTCATGTTGCACAGGCAGTTAGAGCTGATGCTGTTTTTCATCCCTTCACGGGTCACATGCCTCTTTCTCCTTAGAGAGAGCCACTGTCCTGACTTCTAAGATAACCACTTCCTTTCTTTTCATTATAGTTTTGCCATTTTTGTGTAATGTGAACATACACTTCATAGTTTAGTTTGTTTTTTAACTTTATGGAAGTAGAATTTCACTAAGTATTCTTTCTGCATCTTCATTCAACATTGTGTGTGTGTGTTTTTATGCGTTTGCAGTACATAATGAATATATTTATTGTAGGGAGTTGGTACTTCTACATGACACATCTTAATTCTTTTTGTCTTCTTCGCCCTCCCGTCTTCCTCCCTCCATCTCTTAGTCCACTTCCTATTTGGAGAAGATCTTCCTTTCTGTTGCCTATTGTCTGTTATTTTGGGTTTCTCATATAAGAGAAACGATATGAGATTTAAGCTTGTGAGTCTGATTTATTTCACAACATTAGAATGCACCTTGAATATTGTGTTTTTAAGATTTATCCTTGTTTGTAATTTGCAGGTTTCTGTTCCACTGTTAGAGTAAGCCACAGTTTATCTACTGTTGGTGAACAGTCAGGTTTTTGTTTTTGGTGTTTTTTTTACACTTTTGGACAATTATGAAAGACACTGGTATGAATATATATATATATATAGGTATATATATATGTATATATATATTTATTGAGACAGAGTCTTACTATGTAATTCAGTCAGGTCTTGAACTCACTTTGTAGCCCAGGCTGGCCCCAGACTTGCAGCTATCCTCCTGCCTCAGCCTTCTGAGTGCTGGGATTACAGGTGCGTGCTGCCACAACCAGTGAATATTCTTTAACATACATACAAGAAAAATTTTTTGAAGTGAACTGCTTGTAGGATAGATCTTACCACTTATTTTACCACAAAATAAAAATTTTACCAAATAGGAAGTTCCTCAAATTTCTACCCCTCGTCTAAATTTTCACTTATCCTTGTTTTTCCATTGTGTCAGAGGACAGTGCACACTCCACCTGGGTTTCCTCATATTACCTCATTTTCTTTCTCCATCAGTTACATTAACCCATCTTAGGGATGATTGTTTCTATACTGTTCTATACCTGAGGCCATGGACTTTAGGGAATTCTTCAAACACCTGTACTTGTAAAGTTTTCTGTGTACAGATTGAGTATTCCTTGTCCGAAACAGTTGAGACCACAACAATCAGACCACATTTCAAAATTTTGGGGGGGAGAGTTGAAATATACATAAACATAATGAGATATTTTGGGGATGGAACCCAAGTTTAAACATGAAACTCATTTAAATTTTATATATACATACTTTATAACATATGGCGTGAAGGTAATTTTTTTTCAGTACTGGGGGATCATCCTACCACTGAGTTTCACCCTCAGCCCTTTTTGATTTTTATTTTGAGATAATCTTGCTCAGTTGTCCAGGCTGGACTCAAACTTGTGACCCTCTTGTCTTAGCCTCGCAAGTAGCTGGTATTATAGGCATTTATTACTGCACCCATGTGAAGGTAATTTTTTTTTTTTTGAGACAGGGTCTCGCTATGCAGTTCAGGCTGGACTTGAGCTCACTTTGTAGCCCAGGCTGGCCTCGAGCTCTAAACAATCCTCCTGCCTCAGCCTCCTGAGTGCTGGGATTATAGGCATGTGCCACCATGCCCAGCATGAAGGTAATTTTGAACAATATTTTTGGTATGCTTACATTTTGAGTCAGGTGTGAAATTTTTTTACTTATGGCATCTATCAGCACTCAGAGAATTTTGGATTTTGGAGTTATTTCAGGTTTTGGATTTTTAGATTAAGGATGTTTAACCTGTATTTGTATTTAACAGTATTTGCATTTTTCTGAGAAGAGGAACCCAGGGTTTGATTCTAAAAAAAGAAGTCTTTAATAAAAAAAAATTAACAATTTTTTGTTTGTTTTGAGACGAGGTTTTCTTGCTATGTACTTCAGACTGGCTTTGAACTCACCCGTAGTCTAGGCTGGCCTCTCAGTTGCCATGATCCTCCTGCCTCAGGCTCCCCGGGGGTTTTTTGTTTTATTTTTTTGTGGGTATTTTTGAGATAGTGTCTCACTATATAGTTCAAGCTGGTCTTGAACTCACTCTGTAGCCCAGGCTGACCTCAAACTCACCGTGATCCTCTTGCCTCATGTTTTTTTTCCCCCCATAATCACCCTAATAAATCTTTGGTCTTCCTCCAACTTTTGCTCTCTTTCTCTTGTAATTATGCTCAAAAGTACTATACATTTTTAATTTCCTTTTAATAAGTTTTCATTCATTCGTTAGTCTTCTTCAGACTTACCTCCACCCTACTCTACTACTGAAATTGCTTTATCTAAATAATGGGAATTGATTATTTTGAAAATGTTTTATTGAGTAACTATGAATATTTTATTGAATAACTATAAAATAGGTGTTTTATTGAGCACCTTTATGGTGGACAGTTTTCAGGCGTTAGAGTTGCCAGAGTGACCTGAACTAAGAATGTGCTTTGTGGTAGAGTGTTGCCTAGCACATGTGAAGTTGTGGGTTGGATCTCTAGCACCCCTGCCCCACAATAAAAGAGGAAAAAAAAAAGAAGAAGGAAATAGGCATCATAGTTACCAGACAAGAACTTACAAGTCTTGGAGTTTGTACACTAGTAAAAGGAGGACAGACAATAAACAAGAGAGAAATAAGTGATACAGTTGCAACTAGCAGTAGTGCCAGTAGCCTGAACAGTGACTGGGAGGGGAGGCTACTTGAGGAAAGAAGTAGATAAGACTCTAACATTTGAGCCAGATTGCTGAGGATAAGAAGGAGCCAGCTATGCAAAAAGGCTGGGCAGAGGCCTTGAAATGAAATAAGACGGGCATGCATCTTAGTCCATTTGTATTACTGTAACAAAATATCACATACAGGGCAACTTGTAAACAACAAAAATTTAATTCCCAGTACTGGAGTTTGGGAAGTTCAAGGTCATGGGGCCAGCAGATTCTGAGTGTTAGTTTTTATTTCCTGTATCATTGGCACCTTCTAGTTTTCTCATAGGATAGATGGAGCAAGGGAATTCTCTGGGGCCTTTTTTGTAAGAGCCACCCCCTTTCAAGAGCTGTACCTTTTTGGGGGGAGGGGAGTGGTGGGGATTGAACTGAGGGCTTCAAGCATTCAAGACCACTGAGCTACATCCTCAGCCTCTGTACCTCTTCATATGATCCCTTTGGGTTTAGTTGTCATCATATGAGTTGGAGGGGTCACAGATATTCAGATCATAGCAGCACATTAGAGGAGCAAAAAAACGAACATAATTAGTGGATGAACAACAACAAAAAAAGAGTATCAGATCTGAGTGAAGGCAGGGGGCAAATCATGTATGGCCTTAAAAAGTTTCCATTTTATTCTGAATCCAGTGGGAGGCCACTAGACTTTTTTGAGAATTATCTCATTTTATTTTTTAAAAATTTTAAAATTAGTACACATATGCAGTACATAGTGATTATGTTCACCATAGGGAGTTGGTGCATGTACATAACACATTTAATTCTTTTTCATTCCCTTTCCCTCTTCACCCTGCTCCCCCATCTCTTGGACTTACC